GATAAAAGTGATTTAAGCAAGACCAAAGTATCTCTTTTCACAGTTGAAGAGCTCTTCTGCTAACAAGACTTGAATTACTAAAATTACCTCTCACTGTTGCAGTCCCAACAGCACCTCTAGCTTCCTGTGTGGATGAGTGGGCTTGGTGAAAGCAGCTCTCTTTTTGCATTCAGAGCATGCAAATTTAAGGAGAATGGCAGTTTCTGACCAGTTCCTTCCATAAACACTGATGCATAAGAGAAAAAATTGTCTTGCACATTCAAGTTTAATTCTTTTCTGAAATATTTATTTTTGGAACATTTCACTGAACAGTAAATCTTCATCCAAATTACATCTAAAAATAAAGTTATTAAGAATTCAGGAATTCTTCCTACTGTTATACCTAATCAATACAGATCCACAGTGACTTCTGTCATATGCTTTATTTGTCAAAGCACATGCCTACAGTGTTATTCAACCTGCCATATTTTGGGGAAGCACAGACCAGAGGTATACATATTTAATGATCTAAGATGTTACTGAGATTGATAATGTATAGATTCAGTTGCATGCACATGATAAAAAGGAGCAGTAAGAACCTGAGTCAAGTCTTGAGCTATAACTGGAGTGTGCTCTTATTTCAGTCCAATTCTATGCAACTGAAGCTCCTCCAGTGGCCATTTTGCCTTAGCTGGGGCTGAACACTAATGAACACCTGATGAGAACAAAGACAAAAAGAAGCTTTCTTTATTCGAATTTCACTTGTCCTCTAATGAAAGGCTACTAAACTAATTATGCTTCCTGCAGTCAGGAGCACAAAGGCTACCTCCCTACTAGGTAGCTCAATGGCACAGTTAACTTAAACATGCCCAGGAAAGGGCTGCATTCCCACTTGAAGTCTTTTTAAACCAGGGTGGCTACACACAAATGGCTCGAGAACAGTCCTGGTCCATGCCAGCTCTTGAATAGCATTCACCAGTCTCCAGGAGAGTACTTCTGCCCTAGGCCAAAGACTGCAACAGGAGCCCGGACGCTGTATTCCAGCACTACCAGATGTCACTAAGAATCATGTAATTCACTAGCACAGGTAGAGCTGGAGACGCCAGACTATGAGGTTTGACTAAGTAAGTTGTTTTGATATTCACATCACCCCAGTTTCCTGGAAACTCCAGAAGTCCAGCTCACCCTTATCTACCACTGCAAATGAGCATACCACCAAGAAAGTCTCCCCAGCCCATGACTGTAAGAAACAGGGCTGTTTACAAAGCCTTTTTAAGAAGAATATTATTTTTGCTAGTCTTTAATAAGTCTCTCTGCTCTAGATTGTTCTTTTTATGCAAACTGAGTCTATCCAGCACATCTGGTTTTGACAGGTTATCATTAGGAGGTTAGCAAAAGACAACCAGCAACTCTCCACATGTTCTCCTCAGTGGTATTCCTCTATCCCTTCACAGCATAAGCCATCCATACACAACAACTGCAGCTAAAAGACAGGGCTATTTCCAACCCAGCTCCCTTTTCACTGACACTGATGAAATTCTTATATCTTAAGAAGCTGTTTAACAAACAGCTGGCAGTGTTCTCTTCACCAGTGATAGATGATTCCCTCATTCTTTATACAGCAGTAGATATTGTTTCATTAGGAGTATTTCTCAGCTGTGGAAACTCTGGCTGTCACTTTTCAAAGGAACCTCTGAGCTCCATCCTATTCAAGCCATAGTTAATAATGCTTCCTTTTTGCCCCGTGGAGGCAGCTAGCTACTATTTCCAGATGCAGGTGAATGAGAGTAAGGAAGAAACAGAAGACTTCAGCCTGCAAGTTATGAAAAGCACTGAGGTCCCATGCCCAGCAAACAAGGCTGAAATGGGTTTATCTGTACCCAAGCTATTCAACATGTCCTTCTCTTTACCGCTTTCACCCACAGTAGACTCTTTTAGAGTAGCAGTAGAGAACTCCACTGTTTTCCCACACCATATCTGTCAAGTAGTGATGTGGTTCAAAAACACAGCCATGTGTTTCCCTTCCACTTCCACAGATGACAGACTCTCACTATGCAGGTCAGAGAGCCAACGGAGCGGTCAGTGATGCTATGCACATTTAAAAGTACAATGTGAATGTCTATCAAACATACCCAGCTGTCAGTGAACCCCTGAATAGAGAACACAATCATCTCAATTGGACTACGAAGTGTTTTCTTTCCTTGACTTTGGAAAAGGAAAATCAAGAAGGAAGTTACAGGTGCCAACAGCAACTTTACTAAATTAGACCAAAGTAAAGAATGTCATCTGCAGTGTCAGCTGATGTACTAGCATGGGCAAACAAGGGAGAGCTTGGACTTCCCATTTCTTTGAGACCTTGAAGGCTTCCTCAGCAATGACACGTTCCCATGGCAACAGCCTTAAAGCAAAACACTACTGGAGAATTCTGAACTGTCTCCAACATTTTACTATTGTAAGAAAGCATGAAAATTTGTGACACTTATGTTTCAAGGTCAACACCTGCCAACTTCCACAATTTAAGTGCCAGATTTGCCCATTAGTATCTCCTCACCAACATGCGAATTTCCTACAGAGGTCCTCATCTTCCTCATGTATCACCACTCCTCCAGGAACAAGCGCAGTACAGAGAGGATTATCCTGTTAGTACATATGGGTAGAAGCAATAAGGACATGGAGAGCGCAGCACAGCCACGGGTAATTTTTCAGGGATACTGGTAATTGACTTCACTGAGCACTTAAGCATTTGGCACATCTTAAAAACCACCTATTAGGCCACTATAATTTTTCTATTAAAAGGATTCACACAGAGAACAGCAGGTGCTCTTTAAATTGAGGTTTACTCAGTGCTTGTGAATGGATTGTTTCACAGGGACTTGAGGACTCAAGTGTGCCAGTACTACTGACCTGTGCTACTTCACCTGAGTTCATGGACCTGCCACAATCTTGATCCAGAAGTATCTTTAAGACAGAGATTTCCTACTTATTTAATATTTGTATTTTCAGTTTGGAAACTTAGAATCATAGAATCCTAGAGTGGTTTGGACTGGAAGGGACCTTAAAGCTCACCCAGTTCCAACCCCCTGCCACCTTCCACTAGACCAGGTTGCTCCAAGCCCCAGGCAACCTGGCCTTGAACACTGACAGGGATGGGGCAGCCACAGCTTCTCTGGGCAGCCTGTGCAGGGCCTCACTACCCTCACACAGAAGAAATTCCTCAGATCTCATCTCAATCTCCCCTCTGTCAGTTTAAAGCCATTCCCCCTTGTCCTGTCCCTACCTGCCCTTGTCCAAAGCCCTTCTCCAGCTTTCTTGTTGGCCCCTTTAGGCACTGGAAGCTGCTCTAAGGTCTCCCCTGAAGCCTTCTCTTCTCCAGGCTGAACACGCCCAGCTCTCTCAGCCTGTCTCCATAGCAGAGGTGCTCCAGCCCTAAGAGCATCTGCTTGGCCTCCTCTGGACTCACTCCAACAGCTCCACATCCTTCTTATGTTGGTGCTTCAGAGCTGAATGCATGACTGCAGGGAGGGTCTCACCAGCACAGAGGAAAGAATTCTGTCCTTGACTCGCTATGAAGGTGAATGACCAAATGCCACAGAATGGCAGAAAGGAGCAGGAGTGAAGCAGGGGAACCAGAGAAATAAACAAAACAGACAAGTACATAATGTTGCTACTTAAGTGCTAGAAATCAGCATGCTTTCCTGCTTGCTTTTTGTGGCATCCACTCCTGAACACAGATGCTGCTTTACAGGAAATTCTATCTTCCTTCACCTAGTATCTATTCCCTTTGCACACATGAGCTTCACAGATTCATTTCCAGTGTCTTGTGTCTCTTACCGAAACTGGAGACAGGGTCGAGCAGAACGGCTCTAAAGGGTATGAACAGGACTGGTGTCAGAACAGCCAGATAAGACCTAATTAGAAATACCTAACACTCCTCATTAGTCGCAGGTGAACATAAGCATCCCAAGGGTAAGTCAGAGGCATGCTATTTCTTAAAACAGATGAAAAAAGGAAAACATTTCCTCTATGTGCAAGAGTACCTATAATTCAAAATGATAGATATAAATGATAATTCCCCTTGTCTCCAACACTTAAGTTTAGCTTATGCCAAAATGTGATAGATTATAAACACGACAACGTTACTTTGCTTTTACATTTTCCATATTATTTCAGGACTGCTGTTTAGCCAATGATAGAATCACAGACTGGTTTGGGTTGGAAGGGACCTTAAAGCTCATCCAGTTCCAACCCCCTGCTATGGGCAGGGACACCTTCCACTAGACCAGGTTGCTCCGAGCCCCATCCAACCTGGCCTCGAACACTGCCAGGGATGGGTCAGCCACAGCTTCTCTGGGCAACCTGTGCCAGAGCCTCACCACCCTCACAGGGAAGAACTTCTTCCTAATATGCATCGAAGATGCATTATCAGCTCTGATTAGACAGAGGGAATGCAACTTTTTGATTTTTTTTTTACTCATGCCAGACAGCAATGCAACTAACACAACAAGGAACACATTTAAAATAATCAGTCTTCTTTATTTTCCACTGCACAAAGCTAGCACGTTTAGTCTCTGCTTCACCAACAGATTTCCCTCTGCATTCTCAAGAACCAAAACGTTAACATGGATCAGAAGGAGGAAAGCAAAATAAGCACTTAAACCCAGTGCACAGACGCATGGTCATTGCTACTGAAGTATGAGGAATCAGTGAGCTTTCCTAGTTGCTTTTCTGGAATCCACTACTACTAAACCAGCTGCTGCCTTGCACATCTGTAGGACAATCTTCACCCATTCCTGCAGTGGAGAGGACCAGCTGAGAGGAAGCAACGCTTATTCTGTGACAGCACAACTGCAGAGACAGATGACCTTTCTGAGCACAAGGTTAAAATGCTCAGGGCTTAAGTGACCCACTATATTTGCCAGCTGAATATTTCCAATCTTGCTATTTTAAAGTCTGAATTGTACAATGAAGAATTACAGATCCTCACTGTAGCTCTATAGCATGTGAAAACATATGCCACTCACCCTTAAGGAGAGCACTAAAACAACCCTTGCAGGGGTTTTTGTTCTTGGGTCAGGGTATTTTTCCCCTCTTCTTCAAACCCAAAAGCCTTTCCAGGAGTTACAACTATTCAATAGCACAGAGACAATGTATTTTACCTAGTATAAAAATATTTGGAGAGACATCAGTTTGATAGATGGACCACTTGGTGCATAAAGAACTGGCTGGATGGCCACATGCAAAGAGTTGTGGTCAATGGCTCAATGCCCAGTTGGAAAACAGTAACGAGTGGTGGGCAGAGAAGAGATTAAGAACACCCTTGCAGAGCTGTGAATGCTCCATCCCTGGCAGTGTTCAAGGCCAGGTTGGACAGAGCCTTGGGAGACATAGTTTAGTGCAAAGTGTTCCTGCCCATGGCAGGGATGTTGGACCTAGATGATCTTAAGGTCCTTTCCAATCCTGTGATTCTATTTACTTCTAGATCTGAGGGCATCCTCCATCAGAAAAGTCAGTGATACTCAAAATCATTACAGACACAATGCAAAGTGTTATAATCAATTAAAAGCAAGAGCATTCAGAACATGAGCAGCCTCTCCACCACTCACAAAAGCAAGTGCTCAGGCATTAAGAGGGAATAGGGGAAGAAAAGAAACCTTCTCCTATTATTTATCAAACAGCACCATTATTTAAGACTTCCAGTTAAAATCAGAACAACTAAGAGTGGATTTGTTCTGTAAGGTGTGTGAAAGTTATACCCATCCCTGATGAAACGGAAGAAGGGGAGATAAAGGCCAGGACAGTGTAGCCAGATAGCATTAAGATCATTAACATTTAGTTATTTCCCTTCTAGCTTGTGGATCACATATCCAAAGTACCAAGCAGCCCGCCTTACCCAAGCTTTGGGGGTTTTCCATAACTCTTAATACTTTGGGGTGATGTGGGAAAAAAAAAATTAAAAAAGAAAAACGAAGTACTGCCATAAAGGAAATATTGGGCTCTCCAAGAGCAGTCCTTGGGACTCAGACAGGGAAACACACCTTTTCCAGATCGACCTTTTTTGGTTAGTTGGTTTCCCGTTTTTACAGATGGGTTGAAAAAACAAGCAGTCAGAATAAGATTCAATGCCAGTCTGTGAATAGATTAAACATTTGGCTTGAGCTGGAGCATGTTCACATAATCTCTATCAAAACTATGACTTCTATGGTTTTTAAAACACAGTGGTACTCCTTAGCAAAATTAAGACAAAAATGACTGGCCTGGAAAATACCTGATAAATCCTTCAGATGTTTATGTAAAATTTCAGAAGGGTAATTAAGGTTTCTAAAGACAAAAAAAAAAAAAAAAAACCAGAACTGTAACAAAAAAACAACACTCATTCCCCATTATGCAATCACCTCCAAAACCAGCTCTGTTCAACTCAGCGTGAAAAAGCAGGATGGAGTGTTAGGACCCAACAACAGATGATGACAGGTTACAACAAGGTGCAGACAGCTGTGTTAAACCAGAACAGATGAACAAATTGTTTCAAGATCTGAAACATGATACACATAACGGTGTATTTGACACAGACAGGCTCAAAAATAACACCCTGCAGAAGATGGCTGCAGAGCAGACCACCAGTAATCCAACATCCACTCTGCGCTGCACTAAGACACGACAATGCATTGTTAGAAAGAACTTTAATTTACTAAAAAGAAAAAATAAAAATAATCTATCAGTAGTTATGGTCATACCAAACCCAGCCAGAAGTGTGGAGCATTAAAGACTCATGATCTTTTATTTGCAATTGCTATTCAATCACAGTAAATAGTGAGATGGAGAACAGGGGGTTGGAAGGGACCTTAAACATCGCATTCCAGTCCTCCTTCCACTAGACCAGGCTGCTCAAACCCTATACAGCCTGGCCTTGAACACTGCCAGGGATGGGGCAGCCACAGCTTCTATGGCAACCAACGCCAGGGCCTCACCACCTTCACAGAGAAGAACTTCTTCCTCAGATCTCACCTAAATTTCTCCTCTGTCAGTTTAAAGCCATTCCCCCTTGTCCTGTCCCTACAGACCCTTGTCAAAAGCCCCTCTCCAGCTTTCTTGTGGCCCCTTTAGGCAATGGAAACTGCTCTAAGGTCTTCACAGAGTTTTCTCCAGTCTGAACAAGCCCAGCTCTCTCAGCCTGTTTCTATAGCAGAGGTGCTCCAGCCCTCCTCTGGACTCCTCTGGACTCACTCCAACAGCTCCACATTCTTATTATGTACGGGCCCCAGAGCCGGACGCAGGACTGCAGAGGGGGTCTCACCAAAGCAGAGTAGAGAGGAAGAATCCCCTCCCTCGACTTGCTGTCATGCTGTTGTGATGCAGCCCATGATACCGTTAGCTTTCTGGGCTAAAAATAATTATCCCATCCTGCTTTTAGTCTGAACTTAAAACTTATGAGCTCAGGCTCACTGGGGGGAGGGGGCTAAAAATAAATAAATAAATAAATAAATAAATAAATCCGTTGATATGACCATCCACAGGTTCACTCGTTTCCTGGCTGAGCCACAAAGTAGGGAGCTCTGCTATGGGCCACTACCAGGAGCGCACCATCAGCAGTCACTCTACTTACCAGCTCCTGCTTAAACACGCAAGCTGGGCTTCTGTAGGAGTTACTTATGAACTGGGCTTGTTTGCTTTTCGGAGTTGGGTTTTCTGATGAATTTTAAGCTCACTGGCAAGATCCAACAAATCTGTTTCATTGTCTGCAGGTGTGTGAACTGCAGCTCTGCACATACAGGCTCTACTCCCAAATACCACGTTCACCACTAATGAAGTGTAACCAGGAGGTGGGAATATGGTGAAACTGGCCTGTGCAAAATATCTGACTGCTACTCACGAAACATGGAATTGTATGAAGAGCTCTGCTCCTCTGCCACCGAAGGTCTGGGGATTCCTAAATCAACAACATCTAGCAGAAATGCAGTCACTCCTGCTCCTATAAATTCTCTCCTCTGAATCCTGCATTCGGATTTAGATGCTGTTATGACTAGAATTACTAACTAAATTTTCCATAATTTTTAAGACAAATTCCAAACAAAGGAAGACAGGTATAATAACACACTGTCTCACATGCAATTCTATTTCTCCAGTTCTCAGCATTTCATTAATTGAGGAAAATAGGATATCTACATTTGAGTTCCAGCCGACTCCAAACATTCTGGCTCCCCCTACACACAGATACTGCACTTTAAACTGGAACCAGCGTGCGAGTCTCAATGCATCCAAGGACAACAAATCACCGTATCAGTGTGAGAAACTGAAAGAACAAAAGCAACAAGTGTTACAACTTCTAAGGTTTAAAGCTGACTTAGAATGCCTCAAACTCACTTTGTCTCTGGCACATCACTGAATTCTAACTCAGCAAGTAAGACAGGGACAACTGTCAGCTCGCACAAGAATCAGAAATTGAATACCTGGGGTTTGTTCTTACTGCAGGAAGTTTTTCCAATCAACTGCTTATTTTAAAGCAATAGTTTTACAATTTTTAAATTGGAAATGGGTAGAAAGCCCGTGACATTTCACTATGAACCACTTCTGGCAGATTGCACTATTAAACAAAATCCTACTGTTTCCAGAATTTTTACTGAAAGTCAGTGATCTCATACCCAGACTCTGTTCATGCACACAGCAACGTGATGTGGGGAGAGGGGACAAGGTCCTCCTCTCAACAGTTCCATTGCCAAAGGCCAGAGAACTTTGGCCATGGCAGCACAAATACACTGACAGCCAGTACTTAGCAGTGAATGCACCAGGGTTTGCTCTGAGCTACAGAGCGGTTACAGGAGTCACCCAGTGTCTTTGCTCTATTAAGTCTGCAACAAAGTTCATCTAAACGGAACATCAGATAAAGGCTCTAGCCCAGTGAAGAGATGCCTTCATTTCTTACTCAGGCCAGACATTAATGCACTGCAAAATACAGCTGGGTGAATTTAATACAGAAGTCATATTGATTCACTGCACTAAGGTTTAAAAAAATAAAGCTATGAAGCTGGGGATCACTGTTCCAGCATTTTTAATTTAAATCTTTCATATAGATCTTAAACTCACAGAATAGTTTGGGTGGGAAGAAAACTTAAAACTCATCCAGTTCCAACCCCCTGCCATGGGCAAGGACACCTTCCAGTAGACCAGGTTGCTCCAAGCCCCATCCAACCCAGGCCTTGAACACTTCCAAGGATGGGGCAGCCACAGCTTCCTTGGGCAACCTGTGCCAGGGCTTCACCATCCTCACAGGGAAGAACTTCTTCCTCAGATCTCATCTATATCTCCTCTCTGTCACCTTAAAGCCATTCCCCCTTGTCCTATCACTACTACATGCCAAATAAATGGGACTGCCAGAAAAATAACAACAGCAGATTCCCAAGAAGCAGTTCATGCTTAACACACCTTGAAGGTTAGCTCTTGTTGGTAAACTGAAGTGCAAAGCTCTACAGACAGCATCTCCTACCTGCTGTGCACCATGGCTGCAGCCAAGCTCACCCCCAGCTCCCCCCAGCGCGACCAAACAGATTACCCGGTGGTCAGGCGATGCAGTATACTTTTGTTTCAGCAAATAGTTAGAGCATTGCACAGTGACCAGTCAGTCACTAGGATGAGATCATTCCCAACAGCAAACTTTATCAAAAAAGCTTTTTGTTACATGCTGCTGTATTTCAGAAAGTTAGTTTCATTTTAAGATTCATTAGTAAAGATGGTTTATAGAAGGGTTCACTTTATTACTCAGAAAATATTCACTACCCCTTTTTTCTTCCTCCTTCATTTCTACCTCTTTAAATTTAGAATGCTTGCAAGATTTTTTTTTTTTTACCCAAATTACTAGAATCCTAAGGGGATGACTTCTGACAAGTATCAGACGGGTTCAGGAGGGACTTTTTAGGGGTTTTTTTATCTTAATCTTTGAAAGAAGAAATACTTTTCGATCCTACACCACCACTTCAGTCAGGGTTTGCATCTTTGCATTTATTCCTAAAGTGATTATACAATATTCTGAACTGCCCACACCTTGTCTCAGGTTGGGGAAAAAAAAAAAAAAAAAAAAGGAATACACCCGTATGTAAGGAGAAGGCTGCTACTGCACAAAGCACCCTTGCTGGAGAATGAGCAGGGGAGACTAAAAATCGTAGCC